GCACATCTTGCCTCACTGCAACCTCCGTCCCGGGTTCCAGCGATTCTCTTGCCTTACCTCCCGAGAGCTGGGGTTATAGGTGCCTTGCCACCTTCCCCGGGCTAATTTTTTGTTCATTTTTAGGTGGGGGACCGGGTTTTCACCATGTTTGGCCAGGCTGGTCTCGAACTCCTGACCCTCAGGTGATCCACTGCGCCTCGACCTCCAAAGTGCTGGGTTTACAGGCGTGAAGCACGGCGCCCCCAGCCAAAACTGCACATAACTGTTCAGCGAGTGGGATACAGACTGGCCGATTAATTAGTGAATCTGCTGCCAAAACCGGTGGACCCTGAGTGCTTGCAAGATGACCGCCCCGTGCCTTGGCATGACCGTGAACGGCTGGTCTCGAGACTGACGGGTCAACACGGGAAACTTTGGGCGGGTTAAAAGGACTAATTCATGGCTGGGCGCGGTGGCTCAAGCCTGGTAATCCCAGCACTTTGCGGAGCGAGACGGGCAGATTCACGAGGTCAGCGAGATGCGGAGACCATCCTGGCTAACACAGTGAAACCCGTCTCTAGATAAAATACAAAAACTTAGCCGGGGCGAGGTGGCGGGCGCCTGTAGTCCCAGCTACTCGGGAGGTGAGGAGGGAGAATGGCGTGAACCCGGGAGGCGGGAGCTTGCAGTGAGCTGAGATCCGGCCACTGCACTCGCGTGGGTATGACAAAGCGAGACTCCGTTCAAAAAAAAAAAAAAAAAAAAAAAAAAGATAGACTTCAGAACAGTGAAGAGGTGACCCCTGCCGAAGGGTGGCAGTCCACCCGGCCGTACCGCTCCCGGGCAGGCGTGGGCCCCTTCTCGGCAGTCCACCCGGCCGTACCACTCCCGGGCAGGCGTGGGCCCCTTCTCGGCAGTCCGCCCGGCCGTACCGCTCCCGGGCACGCGTGGGCCCCTTCTCAGCAGCTTCAGGAAGAGCCCCCCTGCTGCCCAGGAGGAGCCCGTAGCCGATGCTGGGTGCTCACCATTCCTGCTCATGTACATAAGAGAACAGGGGCAAAATCTAGAAATCCACACAGCATGAGACAAACCAGGGGCTGGCCGTCAACACCGGTGTGCAGGCCACTACATGGCAAGGTGCCAAGGACCGCACGGGGTTTCGCCCAGAGGCAGGTGGGCGGTGGCTCTGGGTGGGCCACAGGCTGTGAAGGGATCTGGCGTGTGGAGGGGTTGCTCTAGACTCAGTGTTCTGAGGGAACACACCTGTGATCCCAGCACTTTGGGAGGTCGAGGCAGGCAGATCACTTGAGGTCAGGAGTTCAAGACCAGCCTGGCCAACATGGCAAAACCCCGTCTCTACCAAAAATACAAAAAAATTAGCTGGGCATGGTGGTCCACACCTGTAATCCCAGCTACTCAGGAGGCTGAGGTGGGCAAACTGCTTGAACCTGGGGCGGGGCAGAGGTTGTAGTGAGGTGAGATCGCGCCACTGCACTCCAGCCTGGGCGGCAGAGTGAGACTCCATCTCAAAAAAAATAAATAAATAAACAAAATAAATTAAAATAAATAAAACGCTGCCCATGTATTGAGCATGTGGCATGTGCTAGGTGCTATGTGACACATCTGCTATGGTAACATTTAATATAAAGTAATAACAGAAATACGCTGCATTGTATAAAAAAAGACATGTTGTAATATAAATGCATTATATATTAGAAAATTATATAGAATAATGAACATCTACGGCCTGACATTCATATGTTTAAAAAATTAGAATAATAATAATTGGTATTTTTTTCAGGAAAAATAATATAAAATAATCATACAAACTAATATAAAAGCAGTTAATTCTTTGACTCATTTAATCCCTAACTCCCCAGTTCTTCTGAACTGGGGTCTGGCAAGGACCTTCTGTGGTGCCTCCCTGTCTGAGTGCACCAAGACTGAGCTCAGGGCCCAGCCACGCAGGATCTGAGCGGTGTGGCCCACAGCGGTGGCGGGCGGGCCAGAGGGGGTACTCACGGCCACTAGGATCCAAAAGAACGTCACTGAGAGGTGTGGGCCTGAGACTGAGTCATCCACGTTCAGGGCAATGATCCCCCCGAGGACGGCAGAGATGCCTGCGATTACCTCGACGACCTGGAGGGGACGGGACAACACCGGCTCATGGGGGCCGCCCTGAGGAAGTGGAGACACCCCCAGATTCCCAGAATGCACTGCGCAGACGTGGACCCCCAGGAGCAGGGTGCAGTGGGCTGGCCCCGGCTCTAACCGTGGAGGAGCCCACTTGGACAGACCCCCAGCCTCACCTGGCCCAGCCCCCTCTGCCCTCAGCTGCAGCTTTTCACGTCCCTCCTGGAGGAAAATAGCTGAAGGGATGTTTCCCCCACTGCTGCTTTTGTCTACGGAGACTGAGGATATTGACCTGACAGTGGTGAGGGCAGAAAATCAAGACCCTCAGACCCCCTTCACTGTCCTCACAGTGTGGCAGGCGGTGGTGCCCAGACCCTGGACCCCATTGAGGGGACTCGGGAAAACAGGCCTGTGGCAGAAGCAGCTTCCCATAGGACACGCCCACCCACCCGTGCCATGTGGGTTTGCCATCGCCACGGCAACACTGGACGCCACCACCCCTTTCTGTGCCAACGATCCCACCACCTGGATGTTACCACCCCTTTTCTAGAAATTTCTGCATAATCTGTCCCTTAATTAGCATATACTTACAAGAGGGTATAAATAGGAGGCAGAGCTGTCTCTGAGTTGCTGCCCGAGGTGCCCAGTCGGCTGGGGAGCCCTGCTCAACTGCCACTGCAATCAAAGCTGCTGTCTGCCACCAGCAGCTCGCCCTTGAATTCTTTCCTGGACAAAGCCAAGAACCCTCCTGGCCTAAGCCCTGGCCGTGGGCTCATCTGCCCTGCACCATCAGGGCTGCAAACAGCACCGACAGACCCAGGGAGGGCTGGGGAAGAAACCAATGCCCGAACGCCTGCTCGCACGAAGGATCTCTGTGAGGCGCACATGCAGAGCTGTGGCCGGCAGGAAAGCCAGGCGTGAGGAGCCGGCCAGCAGGGGCCTGGGGGCCAGACAGGACCTGGGCAGCCAGGCCTCGCATCCAGAAGGCACAAAACTCCAGATGCACAAAGAAAGCTGAATTCCCAGCCAGGCACGGCGGCTCACGCTTATAATCCCAGCACTCTGGGAGGCCGAGGCAGACAGATCACAAGGTCAGGAGTTTGAGGCCAGCCTGGCCAACATGGTAAACCCTGTCTCTACTAAAAACACAACACTTAGCCCAGCGTGTTGGCGCATGCCTGTAATCCCAGCTACTCGGGAGGCTGAGGTAGGACAATCGCTTAAACCCAGGAGGCAGAGGTTGCACTGAGTCCAGATCATGCCACTGCACTCTAGCCTAGGTGACAGAGTGAGACTCCACCTTAAAAAAAAAATAAAAAATAAAAAACGAAGCTGAATTCCCACCTGACAGAGACCATGACCACCACGCAGAAAACTCCGGAAACAGAGAGACCGCCCACAAAGGACAGCACCTGGGCCTCCGCAGACACAGACGGTGGAATAAACACGTCCTCGGGGAAACTGTCAACCTGGACCTCTCTCCAGGCGAATTGTCACTTAGGAATGCGGAGAACCAGCCCAAACTGGAGAAGCCTCTCGAAAACCGACTTCTAAAGAATGAAGCAGAACGGGGCCAAGCACAATGGCTCACGCCTGTAATTCCAGCATTGTGGGAGGCCGAGGCGGGCAGATCACCTGAGGTCAGGAGATGGAGACCAGCCTGGCCAACATGGTGAAACCCTGTCTCTACTAAAAATACAAAAATTAGCCAGGTGTGGTGGTGGGTGCTTGTAGTCCCAGCTACTCGGGAGGCTGAGGCGGGGGAATCGCTTGAACCGGCAGTGAGCTGAGATCGTGCCACTGCATCCCAGCCTGGCTGACGGAGTGAGACTCCGTCTCAAAAAATAAGAATAATGATTCCTCAGGGACAGCAGTGTCGACACACCTACAGCGATAACCAACTCCCCCCTAAAACTTAGGGAACACCAGCAGCACCTTTCACGATAAGGTACATTGTTACCAACGACACTAGTAACAGACTAGAGTCTCCACAGATGAGGCACACGCTGCCCTGCAGTCTAGACAGCCAACTCTTAGCCAACTCGGAATAGAAACGTGACATTTAATCCAGCCTCAGTCACCCCCGACAGAGTATGAGAGAAAAGAGAAAGAAAAGGGAAGTTTTCTTACTGAATAAGATTTCAGGACCCGAGCAGGAAATGGTACTTCGCCCAGAATGTTGGTGCTGTCAGACATGGAGCCCTACAAAGAAACAGAGCTGTCACCCCCAACAGAGCAGGACTCCATTTCAAAATAAAAGAAAAAAAAAGAAGCAGAACAGAAATGGAACCTAAAAGAGAACTGAAATGCTAAATAAAGGGAAGCAAAGGCCCTGGGAAATGCACAGGGACCAAGTCAAGCACACAGAAGGCTGTCCCATTGTTGGAGTCAAAAGGCAAAATGTCACTAAACATCACACGCTAGACAACAAGGCCAAGGCAGAGGCAAGCGGGACAGACGTCGCATGATCCGTTTATCAAGGAGCGTGTTCGAATATGAAGGGCAACCGCCAAAAGGATACTGAAAGCTCTCCCATCCAAAATTAGAGGGAAAAGGAAGGATGGAGCCTCTGCCAATTCAAAAGAAGGCAGGGAAGGAGGGAAAAAGGCAAAATCGGGGAAAATGGAAAACTCAAAAGATGGTGAAAATAAGTAGAAATTTATCAGTAATAACTCTCAAAGGAAATGGGCTACATTCAAAAGGCTAGGGAGAGAGAATGACATAAGATAAAGAACAAAATGCAGTTACGTGCTGCTTGTAACAACTATACCAAGGTATAAGGCAAGAAAAGTTGAACATTCTCTCTGTACAGACCCGGTTGGGTGGGCACCCACGTGAGTTCTGTGTCTCGGCAGCCGGCCCTGGTCCTGCCCCTTTCGGGGCTGTGGCTC